CGGAGGGTTCGGGTCCCCCGCGGATTGACAATCCGGCTCCATTCGGACCGCTCCCCGGAGGTTCATTGCCTGAACCGAGGGGGTTCGATGCGGTCCTTGACTTTTTGGGATTTGTCTCTTCGGGTGACTTGTCTGCTGAGTTCTCGGGGTTTGGATCTCCTGGCGGTTCACGTCCGGGGGGTGTTCAACATCCTGGCGGATGGCCTGTCCCGGTTCGTTCCCCTGTCCATGGAATGACTCATTCAGTTGGCTCTGCCGGACATTCGGGCACCTGGAGGTGAACCTCTTCACGTCAGCGTGGTCGAGGCGTCTTCTGGTATGTGGTGCCCTTCCCCGACTGCACGGCTGTCGGGATTGATGCCTTTTGGCAGGACTGGTCGAGGTGGGGGTTCCTGTACCTCTTTCCCCCGGTTCAGCTGTTGCTCCAGGTAGTGGCTTGCTTGGAGACTTACCAGCGGCAAGTAGTCCTCTTGGCCCCATGGTGGCCGGCCCAGCCATGATTTCAGGCACTGCCTGCCCGATGTCTGAACCTGGAGGTTTTTCCGCGGCTCTGGCTTTTCAGGAGATTGACCCAGTCTGGTACGAGACTGGTTCGCTCTTCTCCGCGAATCTTTGCGTTTGGTATTTTTGACTCGTGTTTATCACTATCTCTATGGTGGCTTCCTTGCTGGTTTCCTACCTGCGTGCTTCCTTTTGGCGGCAGTATGAAGTTTCCTGGCAGTTCTTCCGGTTCTTTCTGTCCCTTCGTCGCTGCTCTTCGCTTTCGGTTCGAGTGGTGGTGTCCTTTCTCTCTTGGTTTTTCCAGGACCGTCATCTTATGCCTAATACTGTCGCCTTGTATCGTGCGGCGCTGGTGGAGCTGCTGCAGCTTGCTTTCGGTATCGATATTACTTCTGCACCATTTTGCAAGCTGTCTCTTGCAAAGAGAGAGATGCGTTGTTTCACCTCCGGCCTGCTCATGTGACGCCTGAGCCATCCTGGTCTTTAGACAGAGTGCTCTCCTATCTTTCTTCTCCTCGGTTTTTGTTGCCCCTTCGGTTCAGGATTATTTTGCTAAGGCTCTTTTTTTTGTTGGCATTAGCCTCTGGGGGTCGTGTGGTGGAGCTTCATGCTCTTCTCCGGCACAGAGGTTTTTGCTCTTTTGGTCGTGGTCATCGGTATGTTCGTCTACAGCCGTCTCCCTCTTTTCTGGAGAAGAAGACTGCTGCCTTCCGGAGGGGTCCTTGGGTAGTTGATGCTTGGTTTGTCAGACCGGGGGTTCATCATGTGTTGTGTCTGGTTGCAGCCCTCCGACGTTATCTGCGCGCCACGGCTTCTATGTCCGGGAATGCACTTTGGGTTGATCCGGTTTCCCTTCTTCCCTGTTCAAGAAGTTTTTCGCAAGTTCGGGTCTCTCAGGTCGCCCGCAGGTTAATTAAATCCAGCCAGCCTGCTGTCTATCCCCGTACCCATGATGTTAGTAAGTTTGCTGCTCATGCTGCCGTCTTTGGCAATATGTTATGGGCTGACATTCGGGCACGGGGGTTTTTTAGGCTATCGAACAGGGTCCTCGCTGCACGCTACATCGTGAACGTTCCTGGACCCAGTCATGCCAGTGTTGCTTTGGGTCGGCGGTTGCAGCCTGTTGTCTCGACTTCGAGTTGAGGAGTGGAGCACTGACCGCATCCCGGGTAAGTTCCCTTTTATTCTGTTGTCTTTTGTGAAGTAGCTCTGAGTATCCATAGGGGCTCCCCCCAGAAAACCAGTGTTGAATGTAATGAAACGCCATTTTCTGGGCGAGTTCCGGAAGCTCCCTAGCAACCCATCCTCCCTCCCTCCCTCCGGTCGGCATTTTTTTGCGTTTTTTTACATCCAGCCTCAGAACTGGGGTGGGGATCGCTGGCGCAGAGGTTGCCCCTTCCCCCTCCCGGGAAGAGGGGAAGTTGTGCAGACATGCCACGCGGCTCGTGTGACGTCATGCTTGTTTGCTCATTTTTCTTTTGGGAAGTTCTGTCCACCCGTTTTGACGATTTTCGTTGTTAACCAGAATAGCGGTTTGTTTTGTGGCGCTTACCTTTCTGGGTGCCTGTCCTGGTCAATGGCAGATATTGAATGCTCCAAATCACATGTGCATTTCTATGGGCCATTGCTCCTCGTGCCTCTGTGAGGGGGGCCAGGTTTTGGCTCGTGGTCCTCGGTAGGCCTAGAACTCAACCCACATCGACTGATGCAAAATAGTTAGGGTATCCATATCATCCATGGATAGCTCCAGGGAGCCTCCGGAACACACCCAGAAAATGGCGTTTCATTACATTGAACGCTGGTTTATTAACACTTTCACTCTCCAATGATGCCTATTATTGTCATAAGTTTTTCTCCTTAATGTAATCCGATCAACTTCTAGGTGGTTTCAAAATGAGCGCCATTGTCTTCCCACTCTCCTCAATATGCCGCATGGCATTCTGGGTCGTCAGGCCATGCGGTGGGCCTAGTGCTTTGTTTATCACGCTCGTGACCGGAGCGCCGATGGCTCGTGTCCCAAACTTGTGCAAATCTCGGTTATTATCGGCATTTATATTGGTTCGCGTGTCACACACACATTTGTCTTTTTATTTAGAGCATTTTATTGTGAATAATTTGATACCATAATGAACAATGTAGCACAAAAATTTCTGTTAACAAACTGTATGTGTTTGTCTGGTGTAGCGGGTGTGGCAATGAGTGTGCTCTAGCGGGTAAGGCTTCGGCAACTTTAGGGGTCGTTGCGGGTTATGTGCCCCCATGTTGTCTAATTTATATGCATGTGTGTGTGTGTAGGGAATTTTATTGCAATCACAGCGATACAAAAAAAGAACGATGTCGAACAAGTTTGGACTTGATAAACCTGAAAATAGCAGCAACATGTTCGCACTTTTTGGCATGCATGGCTAACAAACGACTTAGTTTTTTATTTGGTGCCGCATCACTTTAACTTTGGTGTTAAACATGTTATACATATATTCCTCTAGAACATTTCATTGAGAACACATTGATACCAAAATGAAACACATACATTGAAAATTATGGTCAAAACCATGAAAAAGAGTACAAACTTTTCAGTAGGGTTGTAGCCGATGTGCAGTTGGGCGTGCGGTAGCGGGTAACCCTTGGGCAACTTCCCATGGTCTTGCGGGTGGGGCGCACCCATGTTTTGTACTTTATTTTCATGTCTGTATACAGAATTTTATTGCGATCACAGTGATACCAAAATTAATGACGTAGAACAATTCTGGGGTTGATAAACCTGAAAAGAGCATAAACATTTCATCACTGTTTGGCGCTCATGGATAACAATCACCATAGTTTATTTGGTGCAAGTTTCACGTTGGCTTTGGTGAAATTTTATATATATATTCCTCTAGAGCATTCTCTTGTGAACAAATTGATACCAAATTTAAATATATACATGGAAAATTAAGGTGAGCAGACCAAAGAGAGTATACACGTTTCAGTGTCGCCGCGCGGTTACCTGAAATGCTCGGCGCACGAGGGGAAAGTTAAAGAGCCTTCTGCCGGGAGCGCAATAGTGTTAAAAATTCAATAATACAGTACAACCTCCATTCAACGTACTATATGGGACCAACTCCAGTGCATTGGAGCGTTGGATGCGTTGCAAGAGGTGACCTTCAGGAGGCGTTTGTGTCAGTGTCTCTTTTTTTTCTTGTACACAATAAAAATGCATTATCATATTATATATTGTACCCATATATTATTCCCCTACTAAAAAATACTGAGTTACATTTGTTATTTACCTTATTGTTGGAGTTATGTCTAGCTTTAAGTCTCATGGAGTTGTGAATGCTGTACAGTAAATACGTACTGTATAATGCTTCACAAAGAATTCAAGCGCGGTCGCGGGTGTCACTACACGGGATACACTGGTAAACAAACCGAGTGCCTCACCCCGCACCCCCAGCACCATGCGCTCGTTCGACCCATACGTGTATCAACAGATGTTATCTTCCAGGTAAAGTGTCATACACCAATTCAAATTTTACGATGAATTTGACGTTGTATACCAAAAAATTTGTACTCTAGGGCAGTCATACACCAAGGTACCACTGTAAGTCCTGCATCCGACAGCCAAAAAGATGACAGCAACAGGAAAACCCAAAGGCATTAAAAAGAACAGAATTGCAATTTGAGAAGCTACAAGCATCAAAATCTGGATTTGAGTCAACTGGGGAACCAACCAATCCCAGCATCCCACAGAAAATGAGAAGACAGACCTACTGGAAGCAATGGGTGCTGGCAGCCCAGTCTACACAAATGGGCAGGCGTGCCAGACACCAGGAAATCACTGTCAGCAAGTGGCACACCTAATCATTTAACATGACCCAACCACACCCACACAGCAAAAGGCAGGTTGAATCGGGACCCTCCCAAAAATGCACAGAAGAGATTGTTATATAAAATAGTAATTAAAAAGTTTACAGTTCTGAATAAGCATAGCCCAAAGTAAATCAGAAAAAGCTTAAATGAATCAAAATAACCAAATTAATTGAAAATCCAGTCTCAGCCTGCCAACTACACATCAGCCATCAGTCAAGGGGCATGTGAGGCAGATGGGAGCCAGGAAGCAAGTTGTGTGCACAGTGCTGCCTCTTCTTGATGGTCAGTAAAGGGACGGCCAAGTAAGTAAACTGGTAATTTGAAGAGCTCTCTCAGTGGTCAATTATTATCTTGAGGGAGGTTTGCAAGGGTTACAAGGGTTGTACAAATTATACAAGGGTTGTAAAATTTGACCTCTGTCATTCATTTATAGTTGAATCCAATTGTTTTCCCAGGACTTTCCTAGCACTTTCTACAACTGAAGTTGGTGCTGTATTTCAATTGTTTATGGCACTGGTTAGCACCAGTATGTTGCCCTGCCTCACTGTGGACACTTCTTCCCAAGTACACACTTGGATCTTACTTGAGGAAGCAGTCAAATGTAATCATTCAGAAAAGAACAATAATAGACAATCTTAGTTTGAAATTACCTTGTATATAGAGAAAAGCCATTCCTTGAAGCGAGGTAATTCTGGAAGGCAGGGGTTTGGAGTCCACAGTGAGGATGTGCGATATAGAATGCTTCATCAGTATTTTAGTGTCAACTGCTGCTGTAAGATTGCCTGTAATTAAACAAAAAAAATCAAATATTTTATACAGACACAATCAAAACAACAAAGTATAACACTGGGTAGCCATAGTTCTCTAAAAAAGCCTACCTGGTAACTACTCCAAAAATTAAGTGACTCCCTTTTTCTCATTGCAGGTTCTCTTATCTTTCAATGATTGCACGAAAAATCTATTTATGAACACCTAAACCCTGCCCTGACTCTGAAACCCTCAGACGTTTGGGAGCCGGAAGCAGGAAGGATGAGGGGGAAGAGGATGAACAATACCAACAGGGAAAGGACATAGGAGCGCGGATGAAACTAAAGCCAAAGCAACTAACGGCCCCAAGTCCAGGTCCCTATAACCCAAGCGGGGCAACCTTGGGACATCCGGGTGAACAACCAACCTAGCACGTTGCAGCAACCGATATCAAGCATGCAATGCAGAAGCCACCTGTACCCAAACATGGAATATCAGAGGACTGAGTAATCTGGAGCACGAGCAAGGAGCAAGACTCACAAGACTCTGGGTCAAAGGGATCATTGACCCAACAGGCAGCATGACGAAGGCAAAAATGGTGATTGTCACCCTAAGACAAGGTTTACAGAGGAACCATCAAACTCGCACTCGGCAAGTTGGAACTCGGAGGACGCATCCATAGGTCCAAAGAGTGGGGCTCTTTGGACCTATGGATGCATCCTCTGAGTTCCTCTAAGTGGGGTTTTCCAGGGGCTTTAGGCTGACTGCTAAGGTAAGCCCAGACAAAGTATTGCTAACCGCTTAAGCCCAAACTACCAAGAGAACTGCTAAAAACCTAAACACCTGCGACGTGTACAAGCACGGGGTCCCAGCGGAGGACCACCAATACTGCAGAAGGTGGATAAACCAAGAGGGCAGACCCCTACCAGGCAAAACAAACAAAAATAAAAATAAAACCCCCGAAAGCACAACATCCCCAAGAAGAACAGAACTAGCCGCTGTGAATAATGGGAGACAAGCTGCACAATACCTTGCACCCCTACCAGGAACAATACCACTTCCTACCCAAGGCCAAACAGTGGTAACTAAAAACCCCAGCTGGCCAAGGGTGGGTAATTGCTAAGCAGCAAAAGACCCCTACAGAAGCGGTTCCTGAACGCACTGTGGAAGAGAACCCGAAGATGCAAGGGCAGTACTTACAGGGCGCTGAGGGAAGGTGGCCCTAAGCGCATGCAGCCCCAGTACTGATGAATTCCTACTGGCCTGCACACCACACAACAGAAATCAACCCGTTCTCGCAAATTCGTAAAGTCAATATTGACTTATTAACTACGTGCATAGGTGATATACTAAACATAATACCCTTAAAAAGATTCATAGAAAACACCGACCTTACCTAACCTTGTTAGTATCTTAAGATAAGCATCTTATTGCTTCGTAATTACAATTATTACTTAACCTATACCTATTATAGGTTAGGTAATAATTGTAATTACGAAGCAATAAGATGCTTATCTTAACATACTAAGTAGGTTAGGTAAGGTCGGTGTTTTCTATGAATCTTTTTAAGGGTATCTATTATGTTAAGTATGTCACCTATGCACATATTTAATAAGTCAATATTGACTTATTAAATTTGCGAGAACGGGTTGACAGAAATACACCACAAGGCACAGAACTGCAAGGAGTCAGAGACCAGATTCAATGACTGCCACAGTCCACATCAGTTGAGGAAATGAATGTAGCGGCCGGCACGGGGTTTGGGGTTCGGGCCACCCCTCATGCTTCCCCACCCTAGGAGCTGTGCGGACAATTGGCGTGACAGCTTTAGTGACATTTGCTTGTTTTAGTTTGGGAGTTTTGCCTATCTGTTGGGGTTTTAGTAGCAGTTTTTACCATGTGGGTTTTTTTTTTTTGTTACACCTTCCTTTCTGGGTACCAGACCCCAGTCGAAGGCAGACATGGAATACTTCCAAATACATTGGGTTTCCATAGGCCATTGCTCATCGTGCCTCTATGAAGGGGCCAGGGTCTGGCTTGTGGTCCATGGTAGGTAAGAGCTCCAATCGACTGATGCCACGGTCTAATATACACACATCAGCACGGTAAGCTCCGGGACACCGTAGGGGGCTCCTTACAGAAATGAAGTCCCCCCCCCCCTTTTTTTTTTTAATCCCTTCCCTGTACATGTATATGTAAAAAGTAATTTAAAAAAACTTCCTTTGGCCGTGATGTCATGGCAACATGTTCACTCATGCAGGAGGCTCCTGGAGGTGGTCATGCGGACGATTCAAGATTCGCGAGTTGCCACAAATATTTTTCATCCATTTTTTTAATGCACTTCATTGTTTTCTAATTGCTTTTTTTAACATATCTGATGTACATTTGTGTCCTTTACAATATGTACACAGTAGAACATTCATAATGTTCCAGGAAACTGTGATACATGTGTCACTAATGTGTTAAAAACATGATCGTCTCAATATTACTTGTTCAATATTTAATTTACTTACACTAAGAACACACTCACAAACTATTTACACAGTCACACACTGTATTACACACTCAGTACTTCGTTAGTCAGTGATAAAGAAGCAGTCCATGGTACACAGCACGACTTTGCACCCAATGCACCAGGTACACACACAGTTTCGCTTCCTGGTTCTTCATGCTGTGTGCTTGCAAACAATGCACTTAAGTACACCATTGCTTTAGTTCCTGTAGGTGGTATGTATCAAAGTTGCCTATGAATTGCAAACTGGTCTTTAGCAGCCAATCTGTTGGGAGTTACATGTGGCATTGTTGGCACAAGAACACCTGTTCTTACACTGTCTTCCTGGCCATACTTGATGAGGAATTGTGACAAGAGAGTATGACTAAAAACATAAATTGATGGTTTCTTGCCTGATTTCACCAAATACATGTTGTAACAGTTTAACACTGTTACATCTACAAGGTGAAAGAACAATTTCTATGTTCCCTATACACTTTTGCGAACACACTCAACAGCACCAACTATCATGTAAAATTTACAGTATCTACCAATCTCATATTTATATTGTAGTCAATGACAAAATCTGGCTTGTACAATTTTCTGTCCCTTTCAAACCTCACTTTGCCACTGTTGAGCATTTCACCAGTGTGAATAGCTGTCAACATATTCACTTCACGTCTGTCTTTCCAACACACTGATAAAATCTTGTCACATTTTCTGAGTTGACAATCACCCACTGCAATAACAGTATCAAAAACTGGCATTTCTTTCCTGTGTGTCTTTACAGTGCCACACGCTCCCATGTTATGTTCAAGCAGGAACTTTGTTAGCAAGGGGCTTGTTTAATAATTGTCAATGTACAGAATGTGCCCCTTATTCAGCAGTGGTTCCATGAGCATCTTCACCATACTGTCCAGAAAACCCAGGAGGAACTTGAGCAGGCATGTCTATGTCTGTTCCAGAATATAATATTATATCCATCACCATTACGGTTTCACAGTCGCACAATGCAAAAAATTTGAGGCCAAAACGGATCCATTTCGATAGGATGTACTGCTTGAAAGCAAGATGTTTCTTGAAAGAACTAGGGATTCATCAATGACAATATTCTGTCCTGGTACAAAGTAATCACAAAATTTTCCTCTAATATCACTGAAGACATTTTGCACTCTCCAAAGTCGATAATTTCTATCAAAATTTGCAATGTTTTCAAAGTATAGGCACCGCAGAAGTATCAGGAACCTGTCTCATGACATGCACTTGTTGAACACTGAGCTTGGAACAGCGTTATCTTTGTTCCAAAATCCTGTATTACATGCTTCACGAAATGTTTAATAAGCAGACACAGAGCTAAGAACATCTTCAATTGAGCCACAGTGGTGTCCTTCCATCATGTCATATGTGAAGCAGGTAATTTAGTCACCTGCAATAAGTTTTAGTACATACCTGTTGGTTTTGTCAACAAGATATTGTAGAATGACTCATCAAAATAAGCCATAAAATATTCACTTTCACTTATATCTTCACCTGTATATGGGAAAGTGGGTGCAACACATCATCAGTATCATCAAACTGTGGTTTGTATGGTACAAAAATTATCACAGTGTGCCTACACAAATTCACCCCGTGCTCCTTGTATTAGCACCACCACCACCGCCATACCCACAACCGGTCACTATGGATCCATTTTTTTGCACTAAATCTCCATTTGCCAGGAGATGAAGCTCTTCTACCCTGTATACCAGAAGGGCGACCAGAGAGAGTAGATGTAGAGGCAACACTGTCATCATGGGTGGAGACACGGAGGCTCTTGGCAAGGGGTGCTGCCAAGACAGCAAATCTCTGCCTAGTAACACCAACAAAGTAGCTGCTGACACTCGGTTCATCTACACTACTTGTATCAGAAGCAGCATCACTGAACCCAGAAAATGATTCACTATAGTATCCCTTTCTTCAAAAATGGGAGATGACACAGGTGGTGATAGTACTGGCAAAGCCTATGACCTGTGAGGCTGCAGCTTGCCTGGTACTCGCCTGTACTGGACATGCTCGCTGTATCGTCCTCATTCGTATCTGTATCACTTGAATGCAACACCTGTGTTAGATCTTTATCATGCCTTGCTTCATCAATATCACTACCCTTACCTTCTTCAAACAATGTATGAATTTCCCCTTTAGACAGCGATCATTTTACACTGCGTCTGACAGGGAATTGGGAGCTGGAGGTGTGTTATAAACTAGTGCTTGCTCTGTAAGGTCAATGTTTAAGGTGATGGAGTTCCAAGCAGAGGGGTTCGGTAAGGCCCGGCCCCCAGGAAAAACAATTCCCAACAAAGTATGAATATTAAAATATGGACTGACATCTGGAAAGAGATCATTTACCCCACTACAACAAGGGCAATGGAAACTCCTGGTTAATACCTTAAAATATAATTTATTAACTCTAATTCCTCTAAGTACAATAAATACCTTACCACCTCAATCTTACGTTAATTCCCTGAATCCACATAAGCAGGAGACGAGGGTTACACTACAGCAAAC